CCATAAGAGGTGCGTTCTCAGAGTTCGCTTTGACACAACAAGATTCGAAAAGGATATAGTTAAAAGAAAATGACTAAATGTGTAGTTCCGAAAAATAAAAATAAGATGTTGCAAAATCTGGACATCTAATTACTTTTGAAAACTCATTTTTGAAACAAAGTAGGTCCAAACTAACATGATAGAACATGGCGGCTAAAAGCAAGACCCCCGGATAGCCAGCAATAAATCCCAACTTGTAGTCGTAGCGAATGGATGGTTTGCGTTCGCGCTTATCGATCTTCGAGCACCCAGCCTCAACGATTTCGTTGATTCTCGTCAAAAGCCTTTTATGCTGAACCTCGACGGACTCGGATAAGATTGTCCCAGATGAAGGTAGGGATTGGGCAACATGGAGGGCAGCCCAACCAATGCCTGGATAACCAGTGTAGAGACAACCCTCAAAATCGAGACTATCCAATTCAGTTTTCTTCAAACAAAAAGACACATTCAGCGGGGTGATAATGTGAATTTTTAAAAATGAAAATTATGAAATGCAAGGGCAATAATTTCTAATGCCATGAGTGAAAAATGAGGCCAAAAGAATGGCCATGGATGACAAGGTGTCATAAAAATATAGGGGAAATTCTTGTTTATTTTACTTAATATTAAGAAAAACGAGTTTTAATTGAGAAGGTAAATCTCATTAATCAATAGGGACCCGTCGAATAAACGACCTATTTAAGGAAGAGATTTGGTGTCAAAAAGAAAGATCCAGGACTTTAACTGATCGTCGAAGCTCGAACTAAACTTGAAACTAATTCCACTTGAATAGTATTAGCCAGACAATTGAAAAATATACTCAAAACGATGAAAATAAAAATTTAGGAATATAAATCAAAACAGTGTAAAAAATAGTATGGGGAGATATACTTACAGATAAACAATGCAGGATAGTTTCAAGGGCTCTTGAAATATAGTCTTGAGAATTGCAGAGAGCTGTTGTAGATAGAGAAAAGTCTGGATAAGTGTTCGGAAAATATTTTGTCTAAAAAAGAATAGTTCATTAATATACATAAAAAGGCAGAAGAGGTAAAAAGTGAAGACAAGATTGGTCAATCAACAAGCAATTAAAAAACAGGTCTAACTTAGGAGCAAGTAATCAAACGGATATCTTGATAGCGTAGGTAAAAATAGCAATGGATTGCATTCAAATGAGTCGCATCTACCCTATTTCGTTAAAGGTGATGGAGAATTTGTAGATGAATTTTCCCGCAATTATATAAGTAGACATTACGCTTACATTCATTATCGCCTTTAAGAAATAGGGTAAATACATATCATATATATGATCTAATAGTAATTCCGAAAGCCTAATTATAAACAAAATATAGGTATAGAAGTTGTTTGACCTTGTTTACACAACTTGGTTGTATTTGTAGGAAGACTTAGAGGAATGCACCTAGTCCGGAGTCCATTGTATGCATCATCATCTCCAGAGTAGGACCGTGGACGTGGTACATTACCAGACGTTTCGCCGGCATCGTCAGTGAGTCTAACCATTCGTAGCACGATATTACAACTCGTCAAACAGACAAGTGAAGCCCATCCTTTGACAAAACATGTGATAAACAGTTATGATATCTTCCCTTCTGACCTGACCTATTCACATTTCCTATATGCTCCTATCATGCCTCCCCTGTCACAATTTTTACCGTGCTTATTTTTAATGTGGTGTGGTGTACTCCTTCGAGCGGCATTCATGAAAACCCTTCACACTCCACACTGTCGTTATCACCCCCTT